TTCTTTGCAACAGCCCTTACTCCTTTCTGAAAGATGATGTAGGAAAAGAATTACGGCGCTTTGAAAATGAATCTCGAAAAACGTGCATTAATTATGAATCAACCCAATATTAGGTCATTCCGAAAGTAATTTCGCTTTTTTCAAGCGGACGCCACATGTGATGAAACAAAGATTCCCAAGAGATCTCGATAGCATTCGATGCAGAATTTCATCCTCTTTCTAATGGTTACAAAACTATTGCAGCACATTCAATCAGCTTTCAAAAAATTACAAAATGAGATCCATGCTTTTTGAGATGTTCAAGTTTCACAATTTTTCTAATTTTTTACATCAAACCTCCGAAGGAGTCCAAGTAACGTTTCGATAGAGCAAACCTCATAGGATACGGCGTAACTTTTTTCTAGTCTTTATATCTCGCCATAATTTCTTAAAAGATTTATCATCAAAACCATCGAATTTTGACAAGCCTTCGTCAGCCACCTTCGCATCAAACACCAATAAACCTTCGGAATTTAAAACTTCGGAGATAGTGTTATGATTTAACACTAATTTTTTAAGGCGAATGAGAGTCTACGGAATTGAAATATATGATTTCGATTTTTCCGGGTACAGCCCGGAACGCGTTCGAAAATATGAATTAAGATGATTTTATACGCGAAAACACCACGAAGGGGAAAGGAAACATCCATTAGAAAGAGGGGGACAAGCTGCATCGAATAATACTCGAGCTGCTTACCGTTTGATGTTCTGCGATGTTTGAGTTGACCAAGAATGGAAATTGGTAGCATCAATCAAAACTCTATTAAAACATTTTGAGGAGATATGTGAAGGAGAAAGAAATGTTTTTGATCCTATGAGGTTTGCTCCATCGAAACGTTACTTGCAGTGGCGTACCCAGGATTTCAGCTCGGGGGGGGGGGGGGCGCGACAAAAAAAATTTTCTAATGAAGGTGCGTGGCGTTAGCCACGCACTCCGAAAAATTTTTTGGGGTGCTTATCAAAATTTTTGCGGGTCCCTGACCCCTAAAATCCGGAAAAAGGGGGCGTGGCGTCAGCCACGCCCTCGAAAAAAAATTTTTTACAAGGCTAATTTGAATTTTTAAAAATTTTTAAAAATTATTTTAATTATTTACAAAAATAAACAAGTCACTTGCACATTTTTATAGCCCATATAAGTAGCTTTCAAAAATTTCGCGACCCATTCTCGGGAGGGGGCGCGCGCCCCCCCCCCCCCTCCCGCCCCCCCCCCCTCGGTACGCCACTGGTTACTTGGACTCCTTCAGAGGTTTGATGTACAAAATTTAGAAAAATTGTGAAACTTGAGCATTTCAAAAAGCATGGATCGCAGACTTTTGTAATTTTTTGAAAGCTGATTGAATGTGCTGCAATAGTTTTATAACCATTAGAAAGAGGATGAAATTCTGCATCGAATGCTATCGAGATATCTTAGAAATCTTTGTTCCATCACATGTGGCGTCCGGTTGAAAAATGCGAAATTACTTTCGGAATGACCTAATCTTATAATGATGCTAGTGTGTTTGATAATTTTACTTGGAAGCAGCTGCTGACAATATTTCACCGAAATTTTCCGTTTTAGGCGCTCGTTATCTGTTGCAGAGCATCGCAGTTTTGTTCGCGTGAAGCACTAAGCATGACAAAAGAGGTGTGGCCGTATTCATATTCCGTAAACCTTACCTCAAGGGTAGATTTCACTCTCAAGATTCATTGGCGGTATTCATCAACGAACCCTTGTGGATAGAGTATGGTTTACTCGGAAAGCGATTAACCCGTATCGATCAACGAACCATGAGGGTAAACCCTACCCTTGAGGGTAAATCTTACTCCAGAGAACGTTAATCCGCATTCACGAACGTAACTCATCACGGTAAAATTTAACTCTAGCATTTGTACAAACATCAAGTGGTCTCTCGAAGCACTACTTACATTAGTCCTAGCGACACTATTTTGACAATAAACACATATTTATGGTTACTGCTATCTCAAACTTTCTATGGCACCTTCCCGTGGTTTTGTCTTATGTTACCATGGATCGCAAAAGCGTATTCCTTAATCTGAAAAAATCAAAACGAAACTCTCCAAGACCAGACTTCCACTTACGCTTGCATTCAGCTTCCCGCCAACCCTGCATCTGTAACGAATCACGTAAAAGCAATCGTCTCTTTAGATTTCTTTCAGGAATAGTTTCCAAGTTTCCTCTTTTCTCAACCTCGGCATAGTTAGTAATGTGGTTAGTATGTTAGTAAGCCGTTGCGAGGTTAGTACCATTTATTAGTGGCGGCCTGACGTTTCGACCTTGTCGTCTTCTTCAGAGGCCTAAAGTGGTAAGAGATTGCAGATTTAATGCCTACTCCACCAGAAACCTCCTCCACACCGGCTAGCCCCGATATCACCCCAGAACGCCAAAAATAAAAATCGAATAGCGTGGAAGACGAACTCACCTCCTCCACCGTCGGCACGCAGATCTTGGTGCGGCCGTCCTTCAATGCCACTCAGTACTAATAAGGAATGTCTTGCATTCCATTATCGGGTGTTATGATTAGTGGCCTTCTTTAACTCGCATAGCGATAGAAAAGGCATAAAGTCATTTGTGATTGACAAACATTCATTCCGGCTGTTCATACGTGGGTTTCTAGCAGAAATCCAGAATGCCTCGAGAGCTTTTCTAGCAGAGATATCACCCTCGCGTGCCAGTATCGAACACCTAATTCTGAAGTCTCTACCCTCGTGACATTCAAATCTATGTTTACCGAGAGGAGTAGTAAGACTTCCCCGCTTCATACTGGCTAGATGTTCTTTCATTCCTATTCCGAGCGGTCTCCCAGTCTCACCAAGTGGCACTGCAGTCCGTACATTCGATTTCGTATATCACGCCGATTTTATTGCAGTCACCAACTTTACCAAACGGACAAACTACGCAGTTTGGAATAATGCAGTAGTTGTCGTAAAGCCTGTTACGTACTAGCCGCTTCTTGATGCTATCACCTGGGATATTGACTAAAATGATATCGTCTTCCAATTTTGCGCGTTTAATGCAACGTTGCAGCATAGCACTAGTTGAGTCGGAGACGAAAGGGAGGCAAAAAGGTATTTTATTTTGGTGCTGATTGCTGTTGATGGAGGTGAATGGTCTACCTCGCCCTTTTGGGTACGTGTATCCATTCGTTCGAGCAATGTCCAGCGCCCTTCTTTGCGATTCCTTCCGCTCTTCTTCTCCTGTGCACACTTTCGTAGCTGTCGTGAGCATATTATGAATAACGGCTCTTTTGACAGAGATCGGATGCGCAGAACGAGCATTGACTAGGATGTTCTTGGAACTTTCTTTACGATACCATTTTACACTTGCCAAACCGCTGGACAGTTTGAATTGCACATTCAAGTAGGGAAGCCAGCCGTCTTTCGGTTGTTGCCGTGTGAACTTTATGTATTGTGACTGTTGGTTAAGTAATCGAAAACACTCATCCATTTCGGATTGTGTTGATGTTATGACGCAACAGTCATCTATGTAACGACAATACATAAGAGGACAACGCGACAACATTGGTTCTTCAATCCTACTCATAAAACAGATCGCGAGTACTGGTGCAAGTCGCTGTCCCATCGCCAGACCTCTTAGCTGAGAATAGTATGTTCCCGACCATCGGAAGATGTTACAAGACAGGCATTCTTTGATCAGGAGCATGATTGACCGTTTCTTCAGCCCGAAAGTCTGGAGTTTGTCACCAAACTTGTCTAGCATCTCTGAGACTGCCTGTAAAGCATCATCATTTTGTACGTTGGTGTATAAGGACACCACGTCAAAAGATTCTGCTACACATTGTGTGTTCAAATTGGTGTTGTGCAGGCGTTCCAGAAAGTGACTCGTATTGGTTAGATGGGATGGAACCTTGTTCAGTAGTTGGTTAACAATCTTATTCAAGAACCAGGATATTCGGTCGGTGGGTCCTCCTACGCAACTTATGATTGGTCGAATTCTCAACTGCTCAGCGGTCAAAAGGCGCAAGTCATCAGTAGCGGTTAGTTTGTGTGTTTTAACAAGGCTATAGAAGACTGGGCACTGAGGTGTTTCTAGTTTCAATCTACTAACAAAGCTCTCGGGATAACCAGCTGCTCTTCCTACATTCGTCCATACGTGATTCAGTTGCTTGTATCGAGCGTGGTAATCTTTCTCAGTAACGCGGCAATAGATAGTGGTGTCGCTAAGGTGTAGCTCTGTGACTTTCCGATCTAGGTCCCGTGGAAGAATCACAAACTCGCCACCTTTGTCGCTAACAGAGATGCGTACTGCCTCATTCGAAACTAAATCACGTACTTCCTTAAAACCAAGCCACTGCGTGCGAGTCAAGTTAGTTGCATGCGGGCGTTTAGCTTCATTGCTATACGCAGCAAGCACACCAGCAGATAGGACTCTAAACTTGACATCAGCTTCAGCATGGGGCTGAGGTTCTTTGTAAAATGAACTTGGAAAAGGAATAGATGGAATAGATTGTGAGTTTTGAGCATTCTGTAGATTTCGGCCGTTTTCATTGAGTCTAGTCGTTATTCTAAGCTGGTCTCGGAGTCTGTGCAAACCGGCAACAACCTTTCGAAAAACAGACCCGTCAACTTTCTGAGCTATAGCGAATGATGGTCCCAGACTTAGAAACTCCAGCGCGTCGTCAGAAATTTGAGCATTGCCAATCACTGAATTGAATGTCACGAGGGTAGAGACTTCAGAATTAGGTGTTCGATACTGGCACGCGAGGGTGATATCTCTGCTAGAAAAGCTCTCGAGGCATTCTGGATTTCTGCTAGAAACCCACGTATGAACAGCCGGAATGAATGTTTGTCAATCACAAATGACTTTATGCCTTTTCTATCGCTATGCGAGTTAAAGAAGGCCACTAATCATAACACCCGATAATGGAATGCAAGACATTCCTTATTAGTACTGAGTGGCATTGAAGGACGGCCGCACCAAGATCTGCGTGCCGACGGTGGAGGAGGTGAGTTCGTCTTCCACGCTATTCGATTTTTATTTTTGGCGTTCTGGGGTGATATCGGGGCTAGCCGGTGTGGAGGAGGTTTGGTGGAGTAGGCATTAAATCTGCAATCTCTTACCACTTTAGGCCTCTGAAGAAGACGACAAGGTCGAAACGTCAGGCCGCCACTAATAAATCTTTCAGGAATGTTTTCACTTACAAAAGACAAGCTGGAAAGCTCAAAAGTCAGTGCACCTGTACAAAAAGACGTACTGGTATGCATGTAATGCCGTCATAACAGAAGACACATTGAAAAGCTTTTCACTTTCAATAATGTTTTTTTTCTCGAATTCAGCGGGCCAATTAGCAGGTTCGATCAGTTTGTTCAGTAATATCATGATCACATGTCCATTTTAACATGCGATGTATTGGAAACGATTACTAAGCATTTTCGAGGTTTTTCTGCCAAGCAGTATAGAAACCCTATACAATATAAAGGTTCTAATGCTTGCTCTAGAAGGAAAAATCAAAATGTTGGTGTTTTTCGGAAGCCTCGGAACTTTGAAATGAAAAGATTTCCGCTCGGAGGAAAGCGTGCATAAGAAAATTGAATAGAAGAGCTTTTAATGGTGTTGAAGTTTCTGGAAATGGCTTCCTTTTTTTTTAAACAAGGATGTTTGGGTGACCTGGCCATTCGTAATGAGACACATATCACTAATTGCGTCTCAAAACGCTTACAAGTATTCTTTCGCTACCTTTGAAGCGATCGTCTAGCATAAGTTATAAGCTTTGCATAATTTTTGCACAATAAAGCATGAACAGGATAATTAATATCATATAATTTTTGAGGGCTAACGCAACTGAGGTAGGTAATCCAAATTTAAATAGCTTCCAAGAGAAACATGCTCACGTAACTCCGAAATAAAATACTAATTTATTCCAGAAAGAGACATATTTTCTTAAAAGATAGTTCTCCAAAGCTATGAAAGAGAGTAAACACACATCTAAACGCCTAAGCCTCGTACTATCGACTGATAAGTATGGTTAACGGTTTGAAGGACAAGCTGTTTGTGCCAAACATTCCTTCTGCTAAACTACATCGCCCAGCATTCTTCGGTATGAGACAGATTTAAAATTCCGAGTTTTTGAAGTAGGCAACTGCATCAAAAACCTGAGGGTAAACCTTACCTTAAAAGTAAGTTTTACCTCAGAATGCATAAAATCCGTATTCACGAAGCACAGGGTAGGCTTAACCTCAAGGTTTAAACCTACTGTTGAGGGTAAATCTTACCTGACGTGACTCATCAGAGTAAATTTAACCCTAGCATGGAGTAAGGTTAACCCTGACAATTTGTACAAATATAAAATAATCTCTCAAAGCAATTACGACCTCAGATTTCCTGAATCCTTTTTTCGTCTCGTCCAATCATATTACAACAAGTAGGATAAATTAGCACTTTGTTGGTCAACTTCAAGTGTATCTAGCTGAGCTACGATAGTGCGATAATGTATCAAATCATTTACTGAATGAGTATATTGGTGGACTAAAATTTTAATAAAGGAGTTCCTTATCACGAAATTCTTTCGAGTTGTTGAGCTTGATGTTCACTATATCAAAGTCCTTATTTGGACATGTACTCCATTCAATTATAATATACCGGATGTAACATCAAAGAAACCACGAAAAGAGGCCATAGGACGTTGAGATAGTAGGATACGTGTTTACTGTCAAAATAGTATCGCTAGGACTGAGTAGTGCATCGAGAGATCACTTGATGTTTGTACGAAGTTCCAGAGTGAAGCTAATCTTGCTCTATAAATTTACCATGATGAGCCACGTTCGCGAACACGGGTTAATCTTCTTCGGAGTAAAATTTACCCTCAAGAGAAGGATTTACTCTCGAGGTTCCCTGATCGATGCGGAATGGCTTTCTGGGTAAATCCTACTCTTTCCACAAGGGATGAATACCGCCAATGAACCTTGAGCGTAAAATCTACATTTGAGAGTAAGGTTTACTTTCAGGTCCGTTAGTGAGTACGATCACAGTTCTTTTGCCATGCTTAGCGTAACTTTATTCTAGAGCAAACAAAATTGGGATGCTTCGCTACAGATAACGGGCGCTTGAAACGGTAAATTTTGGTTGAAAATTGTCAGCAGCCGCTTTCAAGTAGAATTGTCAAACTCACTGGCATCACCGTTATATTATTCGAATTATTTCTGAAGACAACATTACAACTTATGAAGTAAGTCAGTAAAAAAAACTACTAAGCAATATTGTTTTCAGAGCTTGCGACTGACTTTTTCACAGATTAAAAATTTTTCGTTCCTTTGACTTCCTGATCCAGCACAATGCGTGCCACCCAAGAAAAGTTATCGTACTCTACCAGTTTTTTATTATGAATTCCATATCCACCAAAAAACATGAAGAAAATTGATACAACCTTAGTCTGTCTGTTTCGTTGTAGCAGTACAGCGTAATTTTGCTGTCAGATAATGAAGCTCAAACCGAAGTTTGCCAGAAAGGGCCAAGGATTTCACTGATAATTTTTTGTAATTTGTCAGGTTTGGAAAACCATCAAGCACAGCATAAGTATTGTCGATAAATTGGAACAAAATTGTATAAAGCTCTCTAAGGCTAGACTTATTCTCAATCTCACCTTCCCCTTGATTCTGTATCTGTACTAGATGGCGTAGAAATAGTTTATTCTATTTTATGTAAGAGTAAAACTTAATTCCCTCAAGATTTTCCGGAACGCTATTATTTGCAACAGATTGGAACCACAACTAGAAAATAGCTTCTCAACACTCTCAGGAATCTCTTGCGAGAAGGGTAAATCACTCCAAATTGGAATGAGGTAGCAGAGATTTTATGACTTGTGTAGCCAATAGTCAGAAAGCGATGGTATCGAAATTGAATCTCGAAGGTATTTTGCATGCCCCACCCCCTCACTTTTGAACTTTTGTAGGCAAGAAATTGCCCATTTGCATTTATTCGTTTCGAATTTAAAGCATCTGAGCATTTTCTTAATCTCTTAGACGCAACCTGGATGCGTGGAACCAAAGTACCGCGAATGGTTGAAGATTCTAACACATCTCAAAGATTGAAAACTACTTCTCTTGGCCTAGAAATCTTGACAACTATTTTCTCATTTGGCATAGAAATCTCATCCTCAGCTCGATCGTATGGAAGCAGGGTGAACTCCACTTCTGGGGGGAAAAAGCAAAGGGATATCGTTTTCGTGGCCAAAAATTGCGACTTTTTTTCGAGTTGACGTTTCGTTTTTTGAGGGTTTTTTTATGTTCACGGCGATAGAGGACTTTGTAAAATTTCGTGCGGGTCAAGCGGGACTTCGTTTTTAGTTGATTCGGCATCATGTCTTAATGATGTGGCACAATATCCTAAACGCTATAAAACACTTGTGTCTTGAATTACGCATTTTGACTCTGTATTCAAAGAATGGAGAGAATGGAGAGAAAAATCAAAATGTCGGTATTTTTGGAAGTCTCGGAATTTGAAATAGAAAGAGTTCCGCTAGGAGGAAACCGTGCACAAGAAAATGGAGGAGGAGAGCTTTCAACTTCTTTTCTTATAAGGCAAGGATGTTGGTGACCGTGGCCATTCGTAATGAGACACATATCACTAAATGCGTCTTGAAACGCTGATTACAAATCTGCTTTCGCTACCTGCAAAGCGATCGTCTAACATAAGTTGTAAGCTTTTTTGCATAATTTTGGCATATGAAAGCATGAACAGGATAAGTGATATCCGAGTTTGAGGGCAAACGCAACTGAGGTAGGTTATCCAAGCTTAAAGAGCTTCCAAGAGAAACATGCTCACGTAACTTCGAAATAAATACTAATTTATTCCAGAAAGATATATTTGCTTAGGAGATAGTTTTCCAAAGCTGAAGAGAGTAAACACACATCTAAACGCCTACGCCTCGTACCATCGACTGATAAGTATGGTTAAGGGTATGAAGGACAACTGTTTGTATCAAACATTCCTTCTGCTAGTCGGAAGGAGTCTGATTTAAAATTTTGGATCTTTAAAGCATGCAACTTCCCGAAATTACGATAAATCACTAAAATCTGCCTGAACAAAGTTTTGCGACAAAAGTAAGCTCCATGACAACTAGCATTTAGTTTCCTGTGACTTCAGTTTCTCTGCCATATTCGGCCTCACTCAACTTCAACGAACAAACTTGTAGCGCCTCGCAACAAATAAGGAGCGTTTGAAACAGCAAATTTTCGCAAAATCTTGTCAGCAGCCGCTTTCAAGTAAAATTTTCAGATTCTCTAGAATCACTATGATATTATTCGCATTATTTCTGAAAGCAATGTCATAACTTATAAAGTAAGTCAATAAAAGACAAAATTAGTACAGGAATATTATTTTCAGGGCTTGCGACCTTTAAATTATTTTTCAATTATTTTTTGACATATTTTAATAGGGCGCATTGAATGCCTACATTTATGAAGCGTTATTCTCTTATTCTACTTCAAGATACAGATTATCCAAGTTTGGAAAATCTAAAACGTTTACGCGAACTTTGCAGATAATTACATTTCTTTTCAAATCTCTAAAAATATGGTGAACTATCTGCAGAAGTCCCGTAAAGACCGCTATGAAGACCAAAGACCTTATGAGAACGCTCCGATTTCTCCATTAATTTGGTATATTTTTCATAACTATGAACTTAGATAAAAGCTTTCTAAAGTATGACCGAAGAGAATAATTCGAAATTTAACTAACATAACTTAGTATTCTAACACTTCTCTCTATTATTTGACTGTTACGATTTTTAGTTAGATATCACGGGCTCAGATTACATCAGTTTTCTTGTGGATTTCATATCCACGAAAAAACATGAAGAAAATTGAGTATGTCTGTTTCGTTGTGGCATTACAGCGTAATTTTGCTGTCAGATAATGAAGCTCAAACCAAAGTTTGCCAAAAAGGTCCAAGGATTCCACTAATAATTTTTTTGCAACTTGTCAGATTTGGAAAATTATCAAGCACAGC